CCACGAAGGGCTGCAACGGCGCCACGAAAGGCAGCGAGGGGGCCCCGAAGGGCAGCGAGGGGGGCCACGAAGGGCAGCAAACGGAGCCGCGAGGGCAGCGGGTGGGCCACGAAGGGCTGCAACGGGGCCCCGAAGGGCAGCGAGGGGGCCACGAAGGGCTGCAACGGGGCCACGAAGGGCAGCGAGAGGGCCACGGAAGGCTGCAACGGGGCCACGAAAGGCAGCGAGGGGGCCCCGAAGGGGAGCGAGGGGGGCCACGAAGGGCAGCGAGGGGGCCACGAAGGGCTGCAACGGAGGCACGACGGGATGCGAGGAGGCCACGAAGGGCTGCAACGGGGCCACGAAGGGCAGCGAGAGGGCCACGAAGGGCTGCAACGGGGCCACGAAGGGCAGCGAGATCCAGATTCCTAAGTAAGCTGTGCGGTCGTCCTAGGCGTGAGCGCGACTGCGCGAGCGCGACTCCAGAGCGCCGAGAGAGCGATGCCTATAGAAGTTGTGAGAAAGTCCCAGCAAAAGGCGACTCCCAAGTAAAATGTGGGGAGGTCTCAGGCGGGAGCCGTAGTTGTTGTAACCAGGGGGCCAGGGGCACAGTTTGACCCCTGTGATTTTCCAAAATACAAAAAACAGGGTGCGAGCCCAGGGGAAGCACTTCAATGGTAAAACACAATGGTCGCTGGAGGGTGGGATCAACAATAAATATTGAGTGGTGAGAATTCAACAACGACAACAACAGGAACAACAACAATCCCAGGAACAAGAACAGCAACGATAACAACAGCAACAACAACAGTACATCAGCACGAAAACAATAAGTGCGTCCACCTGGTACGTACCAATTTATTGATAATGGCACTATCGCGGAGAACTCCCCCACCATGTACAGACGAATCGCGCTCTCGCGTGGGACTTCCTGGCGACCGGTTCAGGCGCCGCTCCCTCGAACATGTCCTTCGGACTCGCGTAGTCGCTAGAACGACTTCCTGGTCCGCCCGCCCAGTCAGCCGGGGGTAAAGGACCGCAGCCGTGCCTCGCTGCCCATCGCCCGCCTTCGATGCCCGTCGCTGCCCGTCGTGGTTCTGCACTGTCTTCGCGGCTACGACGCAGCCCTCGTCGCCCCCATCGGTGCCCTGCATGGCCTCCCTTCCCACAATCCTCTCCTCCTCGATCTCTTCGTTCACCTGTCCTCTTCTCTTCCTACAGTTGGGGGCTGCGCCAACTACACGTGGCGGGCACGGGAGGTATACTCCCAAGGGGGGCACGATCGAAGAAAGGAAGAGGGAGGAGATCGAGGGTCTCATATCGGCATGTTGATTAATATGCAAATAGGTGAGACTGAACAGTCTTAAAATGGATTCCCAATTCAACTGAATAATTGGTGATGATGGTCCCAACCTGCAGGGTAACATGTGGTTTTCAAATGACGTGGCCTTCCTGGGGCTCGCACTCTGTTTACAAGGGGTGGTCTTGCGAGTCAGACTGTGGCCCTGGCCCCCAGTTCGCAAGAACAAAAAGGCTTCGCCAACGACTTCCTTGCCATCTATCCGAATACCGCGCTGTCGAATGTGACTTCCTTGCAACTTATTCACACATCACGCGCTCGGCGCTGTGGAATCGCGTTCTCGCTCGGGACGCCCCCATCATTTACTCCAGACCCGTGCTCTTGCCTGAGACGTCCTTGCCATCCCCTTGTTATAAGCCTTCTCTTCCTCCATCTCCTCCCTCCCTGCCTCTTGCCTCCTTCCCGCGTCCCTCCTCTCCTCCTCGCTCTCCCCATGTTCGTACGTATTTGTGCTCCTCCTGCTTGCAAGGCTGCGCGAATTACGCGTGGCAAGGACGGGAGATCCACCCCGCGAGAAGGGGGACACGAACACGTACGAATAGGTCGGGTATCGAGAGTTCGGGGCATAAATGTTGACTGGCACGCGGGCAACGAAGAACGAACACGTTCAACTGGGCGTTTGCTGTTGTTGCTGCTGTTGTTGTTTTGCTGTAATCGTCCTCGCCCGCGACCCGCCCGCGACCCACCCACCTACGACCCACTCGCGACCCATCCGAATTGTTTTGACGCAAATTCGGGCCTGCAGCGGGCTCCATGTGTAAGGTAAAAAAATCTGCGCCAATGACTAGTTTCTTGACAACCTCGCAAACTGTTGAACACCCCGCCGCCCTGACACTCTTATCCGCAGCCGCTGGGACGATGGTGAGGCCTGGAGCCTCAAATGCTGGATCGCCCTGTGACCTTTCTAGACGCTTCGGGTAGGTTGGTTGGCACGCGCATGTCCAACACTGCCTACAGGAGGGGATCCCGACCACATGAATCCTTCCACGAGAAATCCAACCCTGAGACCCTACGTCCATTGATTTTTGGTGTGGGAACGCAACGCTTTCCACAACAAACCTATCGAAACCCAAGAGACCCAGGGCACCCTGGAGGCAAGCAGGGTGTCTTGGCATGGGTTTCCACTGTATGGCTCTGAAACCAAACACTCGGAGCAAGGCCAGCGTGTGTTTGGTGGTGGGCCAGACTCTGAGACTGGGGCTCGCCGCGCCCAACTGGGGGTCCGCTTCCTCTTCCTCCGTCTCCTGCCCCTCTTCCTCCTCCTGCTCCTCCTCCTCCGCCTCCTCGTGATGCTCACCCCCTCCTCCTCCCCCTCGTGCTCCTCCTCCTCCTCCTCCTCCTCCTCCTCCTCCTCCTCCTCCTCCTCCTCGTGCTCCTCCTCCTCCTCCTCCTCGTGCTAGTGCCAGCTCGGCTCGAGCCTTCACGGGCTCGCCAGCCCGCACCATCGGAGCCGCCCGTCTCCCCCGCGCACTCCTCTCGGCGCTCATGTCCGGTGCGTTCGCGGCGCCGCCGCAGCGGCGGCCCCGCCGGCCGAATCGCTCGGCGGCCGAGCGGAGGGCGCAGTACCGGAGGGCCGACGGCCGCGCGGTGGCGCGCCTCCTCGGTGCTTTCGCGGCACTGGGCTGCCATCGCGGAGCTGCGCCCTCCTGGCTGGGTGCGGCCCTTGCAGCAGTGCTCAGGCGCCCGACTGTGGCTGGCCATGCGGATGCTGGTGAAGTTCGTGCTGCTGGTAGTGCCGCTGACCATGGCGACAGCGGCAATGCCTCGCCCACAGCTGCTCTTCCACACGGCCCTCGACGTGGTGTTCGAGGCGGTGAGGATCGGGCTCATGAAGGTGATCCCCCTGGGTTTCGTGGTGCTGGTGATGGCTCACGTTCAGCCCCTTCTCCAGTCGGCGAAGCTGATCAATGTGCAGCTGCTCATGGTCCTCAGGGAGGTGCTGGCCATCGCCCCCTTGGGCATGTACGTCCTCAGCGCCCTGTTGAAGAGGGTGTTCATGCTAGTCTCGTTCATGCTCCACTTGCTCAGCGTCCAGCTCGTGTTGTTCACGAAGCTTATGCCGGGCCTGTTCGCGCTGTTCGCGCCGGGGCCAGCCAGGCCAGGAACAGCAGCCAGGACCCATGGGCTGCCGGACTGGATCCGTGGTCAGCGCCAGCCTCCAGTGGCACTCCTGCTGCAGAAGCTGGCCTCGACGCTGACGCTGTTCAGAATTGTGGGCCTTCTTGTCGTGAATGTGTTCGTGCGCAGCGGTTTACCACCAAGCCGGTGCTATGCCGTACGTGTGCCCGCCGCAGGGGCAAGGGCAAGGGCAAGGGCAAGGACCTGAGGATCTAGGCCCCCTCCGCGTCCTCCCTTCCCGCGCATATGCTCTCCTCCCTCCCCCCGCCCCCTGCCTCGTAGCACCGGCGTCGGAGATGGAGTGGTGGAGGTAGGTCTAGATGAGGATCTGGATGAGGATGTGGAAACAGTCGCTTGTGTATTCTACTGTTCGCGTGGAGGCAACGTCCTCGAGCTTGCCGTCTTTTGGGCGTGGGTCAGAGACCATGCGTGGCGTCCCTTGGGTTCCACAGGTTGGCGGGGGGAGCGTGCGGATATCATCCCTGGCCGCGCGCCTTGCGGCTAGGGGTTCCATCCCCGCTCCCGCAAGCTGTCTTGTGTTACCCTCTCTCCAGAAGTGTCCAAATCCAATCCTCCTCCTCGTGCTCCTCCTCCTGGGCCTCCTCCGCCTCCTGGAGGCAAGCAGGGTGTTTCTTGGCATGGGCCCCTACTGTAAGTTCGCACCCTGGGACTCGTCCTGCGGGCATCGTGGGGGGCTTCGGGATATGTCTTGGGAGCTCTCGGGGGCCAGCCCGGAAGGCCGACACTGTCAACAAAATCCCGTGTTCAGATGGTTTACATTTTTCTTTGAGGGGCCCAGGGACACAAATAAATAGTGACATGTTTGGTATTGTCGTCTACCCCCCTTTCCATAGTTTCCCATATGTTCCTGGGAGTCGACGATTAATTGTGTCTGTGTGTTTTTCCCCCTCCTGATTGGTATGCAGTCGCCCTTTCGGTTTTGAGAACGTCCAAGACGGACCGTTCCGCTCCCAAGACCGCCCCAAGACTACCAAAGAGCCCTCAAGACAGGAGGAGCCCGCGAGTTCACCAAGACGGCTCCAAGAGGGTCCAAGAGCTGGCATCTGACGCCTGAAGCCCAAGATGCCCCAGAGAGCCCTCCAAAGGTCTCGGAGACGTCTCAAGAGGCCCTAAGATGTCTGCGAGGAGCCCGCAAGAGGAAGGATGTCCAGAGAGACCAACACCAGGCGCTGCAGTGGTGAGGTCTCCGAACAGCGATGCCCACGGCTGTTGTTATGTATCAGTTCCCCGCCTCGGAGAAGACGGGGCTGGAACCTCCATGGCACCAGCCACTCTGGGTCCTCAACCCAGCCCCTCCCCCCCGCTCAGCCCGCCTGAGCGCGGTGGCGGATTCGCGTGGCAGCGCAACTGGATCCAGGTTGCTACTCGCAACGCGCCCAGGCAAGCCGGGTCACAGAGACGGAGGAAACGGCGGCTGGCCTCCGACTTATAAAATTAAGTTCATGGGGCCAATGCTGCACAAAGACCCTGCGAACCAGCTGGCCTGATCCGCTCGCTCTGGGCAGCTGCCGCGCTAGGCAGCCTAGAACTGCCCCTGCATCCAGTGCCCGTGTCCGTGCAGAGGGACGTGGTGACCTTCGGGGAAGTGGATGCGCGCGTGCTCCTCGAACGTCTCGGTGTCGAGCACGACGCAGAATGTGTTGCCCGTGGGCTGGTCGCGCACGAAGGACAGCAGCGCGCCAGCATCCTCCTTGTCGCTGTAGGGCATGGGCACGAAGACGGGCTGCCAGGGCAGCTCGCGCGAGACGTCCTGGCTCGCCCACTTGACGACCTCGTGGGTCTCGTGGTCCTGCTTGGTGAGGCGCAGCATCCCGTTGTCGTCGATGACGCCGTAGCTGAAGCGCTGCCTCTGCCCAGAGACCTTCGGGTTTATCTTCGGCTCGTCGAAGCAGTTGTCCGGCCAGCCGGTCCAGGTGCACTCGCCGCTGGTCAGGTCCAGGCAGAAGCGCTTCACCTCGCCCCCACCGCCGCGCCAGTCCTCCACGTCGCCGCTGCGCGCCTGGCGCAGGGGGAAGCCCACAGGCGGCTCCTCGTAGCAGACCACGTCGATGTAGACGCAGTTGTGCGAACCGTCTGCGCCGCCCTTCTCCTCGAAGCAGTTTATGACGTGGAAAAAGAAAAAGGGGAACGTCTCGAAGACGGGCATCTGCTCGCCCGTCACCTTGTCGATCAACCGGATCTGCGTCGGGCGCTCCGGCTGCCAAGTGTTGTAATCGTTCAGGTTCCCCTCGTACTTGCCGGTCATCAACCACTTGCCTTCCGCGTTCATCATGCCGTCCCAGTTGAGCGGGTACGGGATCTGGATCATGACGAAGAATCTGTCCGTGATCCCGATTGTGTGCACCGGCGACGGGTAGTCCGACTGGACCCGGGTGATCAGCCTGCGGTAGACCGGGGCGCCGGGCTCCCGCTGCGTGTCGGCTGGGATGGAGTAGACCACGTACTCGGGCTTCAGACCCATGTCCTCTGGGCTGATCTTGAGCTGGATTGCGCACGTGTACCACTCGCCTGTGATGTGATCGACATGCGGCTCCGCGTGGAAGATCAGAGGCCCAAGCTCAGCGAGATCGTCCTGGAAGTTCACCTTGCCGACCGTATTGAGGTCCTCCAGCGTGAACTCCATCAGTGAGGAGCCCACGGACATGGATATGCACCTGGAGTTGCCTGCACACTGCGAGATGTGCAGGTTGCCATTCTCGTTGTCAGGGGGCTGGAACATGTACGCGATACGCTCCCAGAAGTTCTCGATAGAGGGCCGAGAGCACGTCTCGCGGACGGAGATGCGGCCGCCCTCGCGATGAGCGCGGTGGTTCGAGGTGTCGAGCCACTTGTTGGTGTACTCGCAGGCGCCATCGTCTTTGATGCGGATCCGGTAGAGCATCGCCTGCCCATCGACCCAATCCACGAACTCGTCGGGCCCGAACTCGAACTTGGCCGGCCCAGCGTGCACCAGGCTCCCGCGCATCCACGCGGGCAGCTTGCCCTCCACCCGCAGGTTGTCGGCCTGCACCGTCTCCTCCGGGGGAACGAGGGTGCGCCCCGTCTGCCAGTGTGGGCCCCTCAACAATCAGATCTCACACGCTGGCTCTGCGACAGACGTGGTGCGAGCTATGCGGTTCAACCCGTGTGGTGCAGGCTGTGTGCTACGTGTGGACCCCACTGTTGGCCAGCGTGGAGCCCAAACAGGAATGGATTGTACCTTGGAGGTGGACTTTATGTTGTGGGAGCTATGCGATGTGAACCCAGTGGTGTGCAAGCTATGCTGTGCAAGCTACAATATGTAAGCTACGTCGTGAGACCTATCTGGTGTGAGCTGTGTGGTCTGAGCTAGGTCGTAACAGCTATGTAGTGTGTGTGTGCGTGTGTGTGCTATGGTGCAAGATACGAGCCAGATCCCCCAAAAGTCAACGAGGCGTAACGAGCGGCGGACGCGGCGAAACCGAAGCGGACTCGCTAAGAACGCAACAACGAGGCACGGGCGGCAACGCGGCGAAACCTCGCCGGACCCACCCAGCGCTGGACGGGGCCATGAGGCGATCAAATGCGGCAACGTGGCGAAACGACGAAACCTCGCTGAACCCACCCAACGCACGAGGCGGCCACGAGGCGGCCACAAGGCGGACACGGGCGGCAACGTGACGAAATCTCGCTAGACCCACCCAGCGCGCGAGGCGGCCACGAAGCGGCCATTGTCGGCAACATGGCGAAATCTCGCTGGACCTACCCAGAGCGCGAGGCGGCCACGAGGTGGCCACGGGCGGAAATGTGGCGAAACCTCGCTGGACCCACCCAGCGAACGAGGCGGCCACGACGCGGCAACGTGGCGCAACATCGTCAAACCCATCCCGCGCACGAGGTGACCACGCTGCGGCCACGGGTGGCGACGTGGCGAAACCTCGCCAGACCCACCCAGCGGCGGCGAGACCTCGCAAGACACCCCGCGCACGAGGCGGCCATGGGGCAGCCGCGAGCGGCAGCGTGGCCCAACCTAGCCTCCCAGCGAACGAGGCGGCCACGAGGCGGACGCGGGCGGCAACACAGCGAAACCTCGCCGGACCCACCCAGGGCACGAAGCGGCCACGAGGTGGCCACAGGCGGTGGGTGGCGAAACCGCGCCCGACCACCCAACGCACGAGGCGGCCACGAAGTGGCAGCGTGGCGAAACCTCGCCGGACCCAACCGACTCCAGAATAAGAGAAGCATGTTAGCCAGCGTGGATCACAAACAGTGCGATTCTAACAACATGTGGTGTGCAAAGTATGTGCAATCTGCGTGGTGCTCAATTTACGCGGTGCAATCAAATTGGTGCGCAGCTTATGCTGTGTCACCTGCGTGATGCATTATAAGTGGTGCAAACTACGTGGTGCAACATGTTGTGGTACGAAATGTATGAGGTGCAGTCGGCACGGTGCAGTCAAAATGGTGCAAGCTGTGCAATGCAATGCTGATACATATGGTGTAATACATGCGCGGCATTATATGTGTGAAATCTGAGTTGTGCAACATACATGGTGCATGTTAGGTTGTGCTGTCAATGTGGTGCTATATATACAATATTTGTGTATATCTATATACACACTAGAACCATCGCGCGCGCTTCGCGCGCGCTCAAATTCTAGCAAGACTTGATGTGCTAACGCATCGAATATCCGCCGACCCTGTCGGCGTGGGCGAGGGGCTTGGCTGTTCGAGTCGTCGTCTCCGTCGGTCGTCGCCTCCGTCGTCCCCTTTCCCTGCAGCTTCCTTCTCAAGCTCGTGAGCGAGAGAAAAATCGAGCAGTGTCGTAATCGAGTCGAAGGGAAGCCCCTTCCCTTTGATCCCTTCCCCAGGGGGGGGGGGTTCCCGGGGGGGGTCCCGGGGGGGGTCCCGGGGAGGGGTGGAGGGGGGGGTGGGGGGGCAGATTCGTTTTTCCTCGGGCGGCCTAGAAACCTCGAAAACACTCCAAATGAGGTCCGAATGCCCCAGATGGCCCCCGAGACGGCCCAAGAGGGCCCCGAGTCGCCCAAAGATCGGCCGAAAACGCCCAAGATAGCCCCAAGACCGTCCAAGAAGCCTCCAAGACGTCCCAGGCCCCCTCCAAGAGACCCCCAGGAAGCCCCAAGAGGCCCCCACGAGGCTTCCAAGCGGCCCCTGAGAGCTTCCCAAGAGGCCCACAAACTACCCCCAAGAGACCCCCAAGAGCGCTCGTCGTCGTCGTCGTCGTCGTCGTCGCCATTCAGGGTCGGCGGCACCGGCCGTAAGGCCTTCGCAATCATTTTTGTCGTTTCTTCCTTTCAGGAACTCCCTTGGAGGCCCTGCGCAAGCCTCTTAATCGCATAGAACGGGAACTGCGGAAACGCACAAATCATGAATTGGCGTTAGTTATTCAACGAGTTGGGGACCTCGACGGCTTCCTGGGTTCTTGTCTGGGACCTTCATTTTGGTCTCTTGTGCAAGAATAGACAGGGGGGCGAACTTGGAACAAAAAACGGAAAAGTGGGATTTCATGTGTTTTAGTTGTAGTGCCTGGGCTGTGGGTTAGACGTTTTCTGCATGCAGGTCACGGTCTGTTGGGATACCTCTCGGGGTCTTCGTGCAAAAAATAAACAGGGGATGAGCTTGGAATCAAGGAGTTCTAAAATCCAACTGCCTCAACTCATGGGATCTCGATTTCTGCAATGGTTTCAGGGGCAGCCAAGAGGACACGAAGACGATCCAAGAGAGTGCCAAGACAGCGTCAGAGAGTTCAACAGCATTCCCGAAACATTTTTGCATGTGACCCCAAAGTCTTGTTTGGGCTCGAGGAACAAGTCTACAAAAACCACTGGCAAGCAACGAACTTACTCTCTTCGAGCTCTCTCGGGACGGCTCTCGAAGCTCTCTTGGGCTGTTTGGGGGGCCTCGTCGAGGATTGTTTGCGAGCCTCTCAAGTGTCTGGGGTGTGTTGGGGGCCTATCGGGGGTCCCGGAATCCTCTCGGAGGTCTCTGGAGGCCTCCTGCTCCCACTCTTGGGCTCATCTCAGGCCTGTTCTGGGGTGGTCTGGAGTCTGGAGCTGTCCAGGGCGCCACTTCGGCAATCTTGGGGCCATCTTGGCCCGTCTATGGGCCGTCTTGGGGGCCTCTTGGGCGGTCTCGGGGCGGTCTTGCTTGCCTCTTCGGCCGTCTTGGAGCGTCGGAAGCATGAAATGGTGAGAAGGCCACAATCCGTGAACAAAACAATGAACATTAACGATTTTAGATTCTCTGGGCGCTCTCGGGAGGCCTCTCGGAGCTCTCTTGAAGTCTTTTGGAGGCCTCCTGGGAGCCTGGAGAGCCGCCCGAAAGTTATCCTTGGTTGCTCGGGAGCGTCTTGGGCCTTTCTTTGACGTTCTGGGGGCTTCTTGGGGTCGTCTGGGCTGTCCTTGGGCTTTTTGGGGGCTCCCCAGGAGGTCGTGAAGCGCGGCACCGCGAGCGTTCCGCAGATGTTCCGGGAAGGTGTGGGACCCCCGAGAGGAGGGGGCGCGCATTTGTTGAATTCTTGAATAAGGGAATCTCTGAAATTCCGCTTTTTCCGAATTCCTCTGTCTTGGAGCGCTGGAAGCAAGAAAACGTGAGAAGGCGAAACAAGTCTACATAAACCACTGGCAAGCAACGAACTGACCCTCTTCGGGCTCTCTCGGGACGGCTCTCAAAGCTCTCTTGGGCTGAATTGGGGGCCTCGTCGGAGCTTTTTGGGGAGCCTCTGAGGGGTTTGGGGTGTTGGAGGCCTCTGGGGGTCCCAGAGTCCTCTTGGAGGTCTCTGGCGGCCTCCTGCTCGCACTCTTGGGTTCATCTTGGGCCTGTTCTGGGGTGGTCTGGAGTCCGGGGCGCCTCTTCGGCAGTCTTGGGACCGTCTTGGCCCGTCTTGGGGGCCTCTTGGGCGGTCTTGGGAGCCTCTTCGGCCGTCTTGGGGAGAAGGCCAGAAACCCGGTAACAAACCAAAAACAATCAACTATTTTAGGTTCTCTGGGCGCTCTCGGGAGTCCTGTCGGAGCTCTCTTGATGCCTCCTGGAGACCTCCTGGGAGCCTGGAGAGCCGCCCGAACGCTATCCTGGGTTGCTTGGGAGCGTCTTGGGCAATTCTTTACGTTCTGGGGTCTTCTCTGGGTCGTCTTGGGCTGTCTTTGGGCATTGCGGGGGCAGCACGGGAGGCCAGGAAACGCTGTAACGGGTCCGGAAATATATATACATATATATATATATATAGTTGGTTGTATGCATGTGTATATGTACATATATATATATATATATATGTATAGTGCTGCCAGCTGTCTGGTATCAATATATATATATATATATATATATGTGTGTATATATGCATGCATGCATTGTATGCATGTGTATGTATGTGCGTGTATGTATGTATGTATGTATGTATGTATGCATGCATGCATGTATGTATGTATGTATGTATGTGTGCGTATGTATGTGTGCGTATGTATGGATGTATGTATGTATGTATGTATGTATGTATGTATGTATGTGTGTGTGTGTATGTATGTATGTATGTGTGTATGTGTGTATGTGTGTACACATATATATATATATATATATATATATATATAAATGTGTATATGCATACCTATAGGTGTATGGATTTACACATATAAATATACGTTACCTGTAATCATGCATACATACTCATATGCACGTGTACCTAGATGTGCATATAGGTGTATACATATATACACACGTACAAAAGCCATCATCAATCCGTAAGAAACCTGGCAGGTTTAGGGGGGATCCCCGGTCCCCGGAGCCGCGAGGAAAGGCACCAGAGGGCCCCCAGAGGGCCCCGAAACGACACTGGGGGTCCCAGAAGAGCCCCGAGGCGACCAAAGACAGCCCCGACCCAAGACCGCCCTCAGACGGTAAGATGCTCCCAAAACGGCCCCATGGGCCACCAAGACGCCCCAGGGCGGCTCCGAAGGAACACCCTAGAAGGCCCCAAGAGGCCGAAATCATAGATTTCCGACCGGTTTCCTGCGAATTCTAAGATTCTCGCGCTCTCAACCGTCTGGACCGCCAAGACGGTCTAAGAGGCCTCCGGGATCGCCCCGAGACAGCCCAAGAGGTGCCCAAGAGAACCCCAAGACAGCCCAGGAGGGCCCAAGGGACCCCCAAGACGGCCCAATAGACCTCCAAGAGGCCCCCAAGGCGGCCCATCAAGCCCCCAAGAGGCCCCCAAGACAGGACAAGAGGGCTCCGAGCCTGCCCACGAGGGCCCCGAGACGGCCGAAGATCCAAGATGGCTGGAAGAGGCGAACATCATCAATTTCACGTTAGTTGCCGATCGCACACCATAGCTTGCTGGCATTTGCGCGCCAGAGACACAAGCGCGCGTCGTCAAACCTCGACTCACGCAGCTCCGTGGATTTAACCCGCGGGTCCACACTCGTGTATAGGTATGCGTGTATATATATATATACACAGACATGCATCCGTTCATACATACATGCCTATGGTGCTGGCTACGTTGCGCAATCTATCCGTGCAACCTGCCCACCCGCAACTTGGTTAGCAAAACCCATGCGGCGGCAATTGCGACGGCGCCTTGGCGCTGGCTGATGCATCGCTGCAACCGCGCTAGCGCGCGCAGGCTCGCGCGCAGAGCGCCCAGCTAGACTGGAGCGGCCGACGTGGTCGACGTGGCGTTGAGCGCTGGGAACTTCCCAGCACGTCCGCAGGCAGAGATGGCGCGCGGGAGCATTTGTGCGAGTCGGTGACTCGGGCGGGCGCTGTATCACGGCGACGATCGTGGCGATGAGAATGGTGGCGATGGTGATAATGACGACGGCAAGGGCAATGACGGCACCGATGCTGATCACACCAATGACGATGATGGTGTCCTCGCGTCGGAGGCTTTTTTGGAGGATTTCGACATACGCACATGGTCGACTCACGCGAGTGGCCCACATGGTCCGAGTGAGGGGGCTGAACCGAACGGTCATTCACTGTCCCTGGTTGCGTGGCTGAAATGGAACTCCGCGATGCGGATTATTGTTATTGTTGTTTGTTGTTTGTTCTTTCTTGTTTGTTGTTGTCGTCGTCCCACCCGGGACCCGCCCCGCGACCCACCCGCGACCCGCCCCGCGACCCATCCGCGACCCACCCCGCGACCCACCCGCGACCCACCCCACGACCCACCCGCGACCCACCCGCGACCCACCCGCGACCCACCCCGCGACCCGCCCGCGACACACCCCGAGTCCCCATGGCGACCAACCCGCGACCCACCGGCGACCCACCCCGAGATCCACCCGCGATCCACCCCGCGACCCACCCGCGACCCACCCGCGACCCACCCGGGACCCACCGCGACCCACCCCGCGACCCACCCGCGACCCACACCGCGACCTACCAAAAATGTTCGGCGCCTGCGGCGGGTTTCTTTTGAATTCGTTCCAGGTGGAGAACCTGCGACCCACCCGCGACCCAAACCGCGTTGAGTGTATGAATCAAAATGTTCAGCGCCTGCGGCGGGCTGTTTCGACGCCCGCGTCGCCCGCGCCCGCCCCCTCACGCTTGACCGCAATTGCGGGGTGCTACGTATTACTTGACAGGGATCGTGCCCCCCAGTGCGCGCGCGAAGGTGTTCGGATGAGTAAGGCATGCGCGCGCGAGAGGAGCACGTTTGGCCGCACTCGATGAGAAGGTTGAGGAGCCAATATTTTTCGCAAGAATCCGCAAGCACGCGAGCGCAGGAATTTCTTGAAAACGCTTGTTGCGAATCGAATGGTCGGTTCCAAATGTTCTTGCGGAACTGGACGTGTTTGAAGGATTTCGGCATGAGCGCGCGACGACGCGAACGTGTGCACTCCGTCCCATGTGTTGCAAGGGTTCTCGCGACAGCACGAGAGCAAAGGGTGTTCGAAAAAGTTCGGCATGCGCGCGAGGGGCACGTCTGGTCGCAATCGATGAGAAGGTTGAAGAACCGACGGTTCTTTTCAGAGTTCACAAGAGCGCGAGCGCATGTTGTTCTGGCTTTTTTGTTTGAAGTTAATGTCGCGGAACCATTGGTTGTGTCATATTGCTCGGGGCAATCAGCTCCGAAGACATGTCGAAAACTGATGCTGTTGTAGGGTTCAGGATGGGCACGCGACGACGCGCGCGTGCATTTCGTCCTTTGAAGGTAAAAATGCGCGCGCAGTCTTCTTTCTGCAAAGGATAAAGGGGGGTGGGAACGATGCTGATTTGGCTTCAAGCATATGAACTCATGTTTTAGATGCACGATGGGGGACAATCGCATGTACATTGCAAATCCCCAGGGAAGCCAGACAAGTCACGCCTCGAGGTGGTGGTGGATCCTGCTTCAAAGTTTATGGAGAAGACCCTCTGATGTACAGTATCTGTTGTGTAATCTATGCTGTGCAGTCTACGTTATGCAGTATACGTGGTGCAGTGGTGCAATAATAATAATGACATGCGGCGACGCGGCGGCGACGGCGACATCGTGGCCGCCAGACCGACACTCAGGCCCAGACGACGAGCGGCGACGAGGCGGCGACGGCGACAACATGGCCGCCAGACCGACACTCAGCCCCAAACCAAGGGCGACAACGAAGCGGCGACGGCGACAACATGGCCACCAGACCGACAAGCAGGGCCAGATCCGTAGAAAAGACGTTAGAATCTTCATGGTCAAGCACTCTTCAGGGTCGGCGAAGAGAGGGGCGTCCAAAAGGGCGGGGCGCAAAGCATGGGCAGCGGCATGTGCGCGGCCCAGGGGGGGGCGGGGATGTAATGAAATAAGAAGAGGCGCCATGAAATCTGAGGAAACATCATGGCCAACGCCATGATATTCCCCCCCCCCCATCTGGTCATCACCCCCCTCTTTGCCGCCCCCGGACTCTTTGGGAAACGGGGCCCTGTGTGCAAGCACTGCTCGGGGAAAAATACGCCGTGAACGTAAATCGCAGGACGCCCGCGGGCGGCTTCACCGCCGGCGCACAGGCCCCCAGACGCGCCGTGGGCGCTACGAGGAGAGGGCTCAGCGCCGCGGACGGTCCGAGATGTACACTCTTCTGGCGGCGCGCACAAGGGGGTGGGGGGAGGGGGGAGGGCTTCTTATAAGGAGGCTGCTTCTTAGAAGGCGCCGGCCTTACAACTATAGATCAGGCCCGCGCCTTCCAAGAAGCAGGGGTGCTTGTGGGAAGCCCTGTTCTTGACCCACTTCGGCGGTGGACAAACCTCCCTTTAGTAAAACACCCTTCAGTGAAAGCGGCCTAGAACCGAGACCGACGGACCTGGACCCGCAAAAATGACGGCCGCGACGCCCTCTCGCGAACCGAAAGCGGCCAATTCGCTAATCGACGCGTCAGGGCAGTAGGTCTATCAACCTCCGACCACAGTCCTGGGAGGACTGCAGCCAGTTCTTGAAATCGATGCCGACCTGGTACGTGCCCTTCGGGCCGACGTCTGGCCGGACGTCGGTAACGAGCTGCGGCGCCGCCTGTCGGTGGAAGCAGAGGGGTATTTCACCAGCTGCTCCGCCGTCGGGGCCGCCAACCCCAGAGAGGCTGGCACACTTAGGCCCCCACCTGCTGCCGTGGGGGCCGGAACTTCCGAGCCGCCCTTGGAAAAGGCACCCCGGCTGGCGGAAGAGCTGACCGTCACAATCCAGAGCTAGGATGCACGGTGAGGGCGCGAGGCCCTTGGAAGTCCCATGTGCAATGCGAGCTACTTGAACGTCAGCACTGGCCCAGGATGCGCCGAAGCAGCAGGGATGCAAGGGCACACTTGATAAAGCAGCACATCCTTCCTATGGATGTTGAGTGTGTTCCCAGACATGCGACGCCATGATTTGTTTCACTGCGGTGTCCCCAGAAGTCCTGTCACCTATTCCCTGGACCAACTCTTCATCCTGAATGATTTCTTGACGGGCCCTGAGGCCCGGTTAGGGCCCCGAGAGGCCGAACACAAACAAAAACACCTCCTGGCCTGATTTCTGCACGACGAGAGCATGACTGAGTTGTGCTCTCCTTCACCCGCAGAGCCTGCGCGACGGCCGCGCGTCCGGCCGCGGGCGCGCGGGCACCCCTTGCAGACTTTTCCGCCGCCGCCGCCCCGCGCGCGATGAGCCCCCTGCGAGACGATCGCCGCGCCGCGCGCGCCGCCGCCGCCGCGCACGCCAGCGCGCAGCAGCCCGTCGCCACGGCCTCGTCGGGGCCCCCAACGGTGTGGTGATCGGACCACGCGATGACTCATCGCCCGTGGGCTCGGCGTCTGAGGCTCTGGGGCGTGGTCGGCTCCCGGCGGCCTTCCCGCCTCGGGGAGCTTTGCATCGGCTGCACCTCGCCGAGGGCGTTCCGCGGGTGCCCGGGCCGTCCCGAGCGACAGCCCGAGGCCCGGGTTACAGCAGGAGCCCGTCCACCAGAAACCTGCCTCGAGAGACCCGACCCTGGGACCTGAGAACATCCATTGATTTCTGAAGGGGATCGTCACGCTGACCAGACTAAAACCATTGAAACCCAGGAAACCCAGGGCACCCTAGCAAGCAGGGTGTTTCTTGGCATGGGCTTCCACTGCATGGCCTGGGAACCAAATGCTCGGAGGAAGTCCCGTGTGGTGTGGGGGTGGACCAGACTCTGAGCGTCGGGGCTCGCCGCGCTCAACTGTGGGTCCTTCTCCTCCTCGGCCTCGTGGTCCTCCCCCCCCCCCCTTTCTCCTCCTTTTCCTTTCTCTCGGTCGACGCACTCCCCCCCGAGCCCATCCCCATCCCCATCCTCCCCCCCCCCCTGATTACGTGTGTCCCTGATCTTCGGGGCCACCACACCGTGCTGCGTGGTGGATGACCTCGAAATCCCTGACGAAAGCCCGATCGCGCGCTCCGTCACAGCACGGCCTTGGGACATAGGAGGCCCAGGCCGCCCGAGACGCCCTCGGAGACCGACCCGAGGCCCAAAACCGCGCGATTCCCGCGAGTCCCCACTGACTCACCACACCAACCTTCCTCTGCGTGTGTGGCTTCCGGGCCACAACTCGGGTCTCTGGCCGTCGTCCGGGATGATCCGGGCACCTCTGGAGTGCTCTCGGCGAGGCGCAGCCGCCGGAAGGCACCCCGAGGCGGGAGAGGCGCCGAGAGCCGCCCCACCAGGCCCAGAAGCCTCGAACGCAGAGCCTGTTGGCGATGAAAGAGGAACAAAAAAAACGACATAAACATAAACTTTCGGGGGTCCGCGCGGGCGGCGCCTCCAGCGCCGCCCCTGGCGCGCTCCGCGCGCCAGGGAGGGGGGTCCAGCGCAGATCCAAGAAATCCGCGCGGACTTCCGAGAGCTGATGTTTATGCCGTTGTTGAGTTCTTCGACCACCAGCGATGAATCACCACGCGGTGTCGTCACCACACGCCGTGCTCGGGGCCACGCGGCCTCGCCCTGCGCGGCGGGCCACGGCGACGCGCCTGCGGGCGCGGGCGCGGGCGCCGCCGCGCGCGCGGGCACCGCCACGCGGGCGGGCACGCCCGCGGCCGGCGGGGCGAACGCGGAGAGGGCCATGGGTGCTGCCCCTCGGCGGCCAGCCAAGGGGGGAGGCGAGAAGGCGAGAGTCGAAGAATGATCCGCACAACCATGGTCTTTTTGGCGCTCCGCGCGGCGCGCCAAAAAGACCATGTTCCTGCCGTGTTGCCCTTTGCCCTCTGGAGAGTCATCTCAGAGGGCTCGGACATCCCCCCGGCCCTCTGAGACGTGTTCGGAGCCTCCGCCGAGGACGCAGGAAATTAAGTTCCTCAGAAGGCGCCGAGGCTTCTGAGAGCCCCCGCACCCCTCTGAGAGGGTCAAGCCCCCCCCACTCGCTCGCCGCCGAGCCCTTCTGGTGCCAGGGCGAGAGCGCCGGTCCGTCTGCGGGGCGCCTTCGCTGCGGCGGCGCGGCGCGCTCGCGGGGAGGAGGGGGAGGAGGGGGGAAGGGGGAAGGGGGAGGAGGAGGAGGAGGAGGAGGAGGAGGAGGAGGAGGAGGAGGAGAGAAGGAGGAGAGGAGGAGAGAAGGAGGAGGAGGAGGAGGAGGAGGAGGAGGAGGAGGAGGAGGAGGACACCGTGTCTTCAGCACGTAGAGGAGTGGTTCAAAGGTTCTTGAAGGCCCTGGACCCCTGGTATCCCAGGCGCCGCTGGGCGATTCTGGGCGCTACGGTGTGTGAGGGCGGGCGGAGAAGGGAACGGAACGCATGGGGACGATTGCGACCCAGAGCAGTGGTTCCTGACCCGAGAAGAGGAGTCGGGGAAGAGAAGAGAAGAGAAGAGCGCGCTCAGTCCGCCGGACGGCCGGCGGGCCCCCTAGGAGAAACGGGACAGGAGGAGGAGAAGGAGGAGGAGAAGGAGGGAGATTAGGAAGGTGAGTGGGACGGGGGGCGGGCGCGGAGGAGGAGAAGGGGGAGGCAGAGGGAGGAGGAGGAGGAGGAGGAGGAGGAGGAGGAGGAGGAGGGAGGGGCAGGAGGAGAAGGAGGAGGGAGGGAAGGCTCGTGGTCCGAGGTTTGTGTTTGAGCTCTCTGCGAGCCTCAGGACGCCTCCAGAGGCCTCGGGGCACCACGGACCTCCGTGGAGCACCAGGGTACTCCTCATCCCTCAAATCCTCCCTCCCTCTTTCCTCCTCCTCCATCCTGCCTCCTCCTCCCCCCCCTTCCCTGTTCCTCGGTCTAGATCGTGCCCTCCATCCTCGATCCTCCTCCTCTGATTGGATCCTCGATCAACTTCCTCATCCGTCAGAGGAGGCGGCTCGCTCGTCCCTTGTTCCTCGATCTGATCCTCTACCCTCCCGCTCTTGCTCCTCCCGGAGGAGGAGGGCGATCATCTAGAAGAAGAAGTATCGAGGAGCAGGGAGCGAATCGAGGATCGTGGAGGAGGGTCAAGGATTCAGGATGACGAGCATTGAAGATCAAAGATCGACGGACACACAGTGCGGAGGATCGAGGACCGATGATGCCGCTGAGTCTGTCAAGATTTGAAACCTAATGTTATTCTGGAAACATAATCAGATAGCAACGTCCATTGCTTACCTTTCTACTTCATGCTCACGTCTGGTTTCGACTTGCACTTCTCGGCGGCCATTTTGAAAGAGAGGCGCGACATTGTTGCATATAACGTCAATTTCGATACTCGGTCCAGGATGGGGGCGCTCTGGATTGCTTATACTCCTACTGCTGTTGTTCATACCGCTGCCTCCTGTACGGCCGGATCTGCACAGGACAGAAGAGCGCCTTTCAATACCATGAGACCCTCCGCCGCCCCCACCTGAAAGGCATTCGAGGGTGCCCTCCCCCAGGATGCACAAGGGCATCCGAACGTGATCCCGTTGCTGCTACTGCTGCTCTTCCACCCGTGGCATCCGACGCCGCGATCTCCTTCCGAACGTGGCTCCCAAGAGACCTGGGCCCCTGCCCAAAGGGCCGGTGTTCGATCCTCTGCGGAGAGCTAGGAGAAGCTTACGCCAAGGAAGTGGACTGCACTCCACGTAAGTTCTCAAACAATAGTCAATCGTCCAGGTCCAGATGTACAGAAGTTCTACGACAGAAAAACATCCAAGACAACGCCCAGGGCCCAGTGCAGATGCTTGATATTCTGGAGCGGAACCTCGAGCCAATGAGACATCATGCTCCGTCCTGGAAAAGTCCGATGGTGGGCTTCTCGACAGTCCTGGCGCCCAGTACGGGCAACCGACGGTCAAGCATTGGCAAACCTATTCCGCCGTGCCTTGTTTTTCTTTTCCGGACAGCCAATGATCAACTCACCACTTGTCAAGTCGCCGAGTGCAGGTGCAATGCCAAGGCTGCGAGAGAGTCAGGCATCCAGCGGACAGAAGCTGTCCGGCGAACGTGGCCGAAACTCGGGCCACCGTTCCGGAGGAGAGGGGGGGGGGACAAGGAGGAGGACAGGAGGAGGAGGAGGCCGAGGAGAGGGAGGCGAAAGAAACCCCAGATGGCGAATGATACGATTGTGTCTTGTTTGTGAAGACGCGAGAAAGCCAGGAGCCGCCTCCCCACACCGTCGTCGCGATCTCTGCGCGGGCCCCTCGCGCTCTCGAGCCCGCCCCTGGGATCGGCGGAGTTTTGCAGAGGCTGGGCCCCAGCCAGCGAGTTTCGGTCCCCTTCCGCCTCCACCTTCGGGTGACCGTGGCTTTTGTTGACAGGCTGCGGGCCACGGCGTCAGTGGCCAGCGGCCAGATGTCAAAACCAGGGCGCCCTCTGGCAATCGATCCACCAGGGCAAGAGGCCCTGGCCGAATGGAAAGGCAAGGAGCGCCGCAAGGGAAAGCCAGCAACCGCCCCGCCCGTCCGCAGCAAGAGATCTGCGCTACAAGCTGAACTATCACAAATCAGCGAGAGCTCTATATATGTGTGTGTGTGTGTCAATCCGCATCCCTTCACATGCGCTTTGGATGTAGGTAGGTCGTAGAGGCCAACAGTGATAACAGGATCGCACACAGTACGAGCATATCCAAAGCAAAAGTGGTGGGCCCGGGGGAAAAGGCGGAGGCGGAGTCCCGTTCCTCCCTCCTCTGGGCCATCCTGCACCTGGAGGTGGTGTCCTCCTCCTCCTCCTCCTCCTCTCATCCTCTGGTTCTCCTCCTCCTCCTCCTCTCATCCTCTGTCCTCCTCCGTCTGGGACCGAGGGTGCTTTGCGGCCCACTGCCGCCTCCCTGTGCTCGAAGCTCGTGTCCGTCAGCGCCGCGTCCATCTGCGCTGGCGCGACCATGCCTCACCTCCCAGCCCTTCCCATCCACCCCCACCTTCCTCTCCTCCTCCCCCATCGATCTTCCTTACGAACATCCTCCCATGTCGCAACGTCAGACGTGTCGTGAGGGCGGGCTGGGGGCTTCGCCTGTGACACCCTCACCGATCACGATCTGCGAGCTCGGGACTCTGGAGAGTGGTACACGACTGGGAAAAGATTCGCTTGCAAAGTGGGGGGCTCGCCTTGCCGCCGGGCACACTTGTCTGAGTAACTTCCGGCAGTTCGGCTACACGCAAGAGCGACCCTGGGTAAGAGTGCCCTTTGGTACGCAGCTTTTTGGTGGCCGCGGGTGGGGCCAAACACAAGCGCGCAAGACGCTACTATCGCCTTGCGCTCGGCGAACGGGGGGACCCAGATGGGCCCGCACCAAAAGTCACTCCGGCGAAGGGTCACTCCCACGTGTAGTCGAGCAGCTACCCTGATGGAGATCGGCTCCCTTAAAAACTCAGGCTTTCACCTGAGACTGACTGAAATTGTTGACGCTTCACGTATTCCCACCATCGCTGTCGCCTGTACTGCATGATGCACGTGCGTGGGTTGGCGCCTTTGGCGGCTTCCTCCTTGTGGCCTGGCCCTCACTAATTATCTGGCATTGCGCCCCTGTGCCTGTGTTGAACACGCCCTCTGGACTTTTCCTTGCGGGCCGCCAAACAAAAAGACAGTATCCCCATCACCCTGGTCCTGGTCTTCGTGGCCTGGTCTTCATCCGCCCTCCTCGTCTTCCTGGCCCTGGTCTTCGTGGCTGTGTTAGGCTTGCTCCTGTTATTTAGGCCCTCGCGCGCCCCGCTCGGACCCTGACTCGCCGCTGGCGCTCTCGCCTGCGGCTGCCGAACAAAAAAAATCCCCATCACCCGCTTGCGCTAATTTAGGCCGCTGCTAGTCTGCACCGCCCTCTGACGCCGCCCGACCTTTTTCCTCGCCGCGGTCGCGATCAAAAAAGTAGCGCCACCGCCCCATCGAGAAACGATGCCCAGGGGAATGGAGGTGGTCATGAAATTGGCAGGCATGCAGACGAACAAAGGGCGGGGGCCGTCCAAGGTGGGGGAGGGAGAAGAGGGAGGAGGGAGGACGAGTAGGCGGAGAAGGAGGAGGAGAAGGAGGAGGAGGCCGAGGAGGAGGAGGAGGAAAGGACGATCATAAGAACCTCCTCGGATGTGTCTTGGGCGTTTTCTGGAGGCCTCTTGGAACGTCTGGGGGGCATCTTGGGTGTGTCGGGGATCCTCTTGAAGCCTCTTAAGGGCCTCTTGGGAGCCTCTTGGAAGCATCTTGGGCGCCTCTTGGAGCCCTCTTGGGGCGCTCTTGGGTGCCTTGGGAGCGCTCTCTTTTTTTCTCAACAGATATACAGAATATGGCCGAAGTCCGCAAGCCAAGGGTAGTTGTGGATCGTCCACCGGCTGAAACTGCGGCAGCAAAACCGAAGCCAATCACGACAAGATAAATCATTATGACACGGCGCGGGTGTATCTATCGTGTATCCAACAGAATGTTGCCATACACGTCAACCGTATACCAAGGGTATCAATGGATGGTCCACAGGCTTGAATTGCGGCACATCATAAAACCAATCACGAAACGATAGCTCATCCTCCATGTGGAACGGCCTATCTGCTCGCCCACGACCGTCGCCTTTCAAATCTGGCAACGGCATTGCATTTGCCGACACATACGAGAAAGCAAGCGCGTTTCGTGCTCCAAGAGCTGCATTTTGCTTGTGTGCTTTATGCATCATCCACCCGTGGTGCGCAGTGCAATCTCCGACGTCGAGCTCGAGCGCCATCTCGGTGACAAAACGCTCTGCTAACAGACCATCCCAACTGGCGGGTGGGCCATACCAATACTGCATAGCCAAGTCGCGGTGCGATCCAGCGGAAAACATGAGCACGGAATCTTTTCTGCTGTCTAGCCGGCGTCCGATGTGGCACCAGAAAGTGACGTAACCACCAGACTTCACATCAAGAGGCACCAGCACTAAATCCATATGCCATCCCGTCGCCTTGTTGAGTAAAGACGCGTCTTTCGTGAACATAGCTGTCTGGTAAAGGCGCACGCGGGGATACTGCAGCAACTGCGAGGCGATATGACCTAAATGAGAACTTTTAGCTATGCCAGACAGAAATTCGGAATGCCGATGCAGGTTCAATGCCTGGAAATATGGCAGCAGCACTTTTGAGTACCGAATATGCCCATGTACCTGAGCACCAGCCGTCACACCTTTAGCCTCCGAATGTTGACGTAATCGACGCAACAATTCAGATTGTCAAAAGAACTGTGTATGGCCGCGTCTGCGACAGACGGGTTGCTACAAGACTCCGTATCAATGACCCCGCACACTTCCACTATACTCTTGTCTGAACAGTTGACCGCGTAAACCTTCCAGACGAAATCTAAGGAATAATTCACATACGTCTGCATCGTCTTAGCCAAAGCACGCTGGGACTGCTCTCAAGAGTCTACTGACCGCAGCTCTGGCAAGATGTCATTCATTATCACCCAGCCCTTCGCAAGAAACTGAATGATCTTCTCACGTGAGATCGATGAGGCCACTTCATGGCGCACGGCTCGCGCGGCTGGTTTCGCAACCGGCACTGCGAATTCAAAGAGGGGGGCAGCATCGGACGTGTCGTCAGAATTCGCATCATGCACCGAGGCCGATTCCCTTCCAGCCCAAACGACGCGCCAACAAAGAACCGATGCAAATGTGCAGGAACGAAGCATGGCTTCCAAGCCTTTCAGGCCAGCTGAGCCGAATCTCCTGGTCTGATTGAGCCAAACTTGAGCCAAAATGGCTACGGAAGGGTGCCTTGGGAGCGCTCTTTGGGCAATCTTGGAGGAGACCGATCAAATAAGAGGGGGTCCTGAATTAGGGCCGCAATTCTAGAGAGCCTAAAATCCCATCTTGGGCCCCCCCTTCTAGGGGCGCTCTTGGGAAGCGGTCTTGGGGCCTCTTGGAGCATCTTCGGCGCCCTCTGGAAGCAACTTGGGATACCTTCAGCCATCTTGGAGCTCATCTTGGGCTCTCCCAGACGCTCTTGGAGCCATCTCGGGCCATCTTGGACGCCCCAACCCCTCGGGGGAACCCCCCGTCCAGGTCCAGGGGAGGGGGTACGGGGGGAGGGGCACACCCCTCCCCGAAGGCGAAGAGGGGCAGACGGAAGACAAGACACGCTACATAGACCATCTACGTCCTAGAGGGCTGGCGGGATTAGGACTAGGTCGGGCGTGTCCTCCTACAGGCGGATTTTGGACGAACCATTAAAACCACTCAAAAATACAAACAAACATGCAAGCAAACAACTCAACAGAAATGCAGGCAAATTTTTTAATACTCCTCCTGTCGAGGGACAGGCCCGACGTAAGATTAGGAAAACTTCGGGCTGGGCATCGGTCCCGCGGACGGACGGGCGCCCGCTCCCTCGCAACGCGCGGGGGGGGGGTGGCCGTTGCTGGGCAGTGCGCCTTGACCTCTATATGAGCATCGGCCTCGTCGCCCTGCTTTCGAGCCTCGAGTTGGGTCGGGCCTGTCCCCCTACAGGGGGATTTTGGACGAAAAATAAAAAACACAATACATCCAAAGACCCCTCAACCACACGCAAAAAAGCGTCCCCAAACTAGGTTTTCTATTTTGAATATCCCCCCTGTGAAAGGACAGGCCCGACTCAAGCCTCGAATGAGGAAGGCAACGTCTTGCAAACCTCCGCGCCGGCCTGCTTTCAGAGCAAGCAGCCAAGGCCGTGCCGACGGCGACGTTGGTGAACGGCGATGTTGGGGATCCGATGTCTGTGACACCGAGCTCGCGCAGAACAGATTGTAGGAAACCACGAACCCCACTTCCCTGCATGCCCGATGTGCGAATATATCGAGCGAGAACGACGCAACGAATTGTAGTTCTAGGAAAGCACGGACCAGAATGTCCTACGACTGGTGTGGCCACGAACCAGTCCCACCGACAACGGCGTTACCTACACTGCCGTTAACGCGACTGCGGAGGAGGGGGGGCGCTTCGCGCAGGGAAGAGAGAAAACAACAACTTGGACGGAACGCTGGGGACGGGACCCTTGGGACGAGAGGGTGCGCTGAAGAATGGGCTGCAATCTGCTCCTCCTCCTCCTCCTCTTCCTCCTCTTCCTCCTCCTCCTCCTCCTCCTCGGCCTCTCCTCCTCCTCCTCGGCCTCCTCCTCCTCTTCCTCCTCCTCCTCCTCCTCCTCCTCCTCGGCCTCCTCTCCTCGTCCTCCTCGTCCTCCCTTACTCCTCCTCCTCCTCCTCCTCTACATCCTCCTCCTCCTTCTCTACATCCTCCTCCTCCTCCTCCTTCTCTACATCCTCCCTCTCCTCGGCCTCCTCTCTAATATTCTTCCTGTCTCCACTCCAGAAACACAACCGACTCATCCACGACTTCGGTGTCAGCCTCAGATTCCAGCCTCCTGTTGCTCCCAGCAATTCGACATCGGCGGGTAGGACGACGACGATGACGACGACCCCGACGATAATCTCGCCCATCATCTCGACGAGGGTCCTGAGAACAAGGTGCCTCGAACAGTGCAAAATCACCCTTGGATCCCTTCCTGTCCTAGGACCCCATTCCTCCCTTCGGTCCTCCCTTGTCCTTGTCCGTCCTGTCCTCAGGGCCCCATCCCTTCCTGTCCTTCCTGTTCCTTCGGACCCCACCTCTGAACCACCGAGACAATGACGACGACGACGACGACGGCGGCGGCGACGACGACGACGGCGACTCCGACGACGGCGACCTGCCGACGGCGCGGGCCCGGGGCGCGCGCGACCGACGCAGGCGGGCCGCAGGCTCGGGCCGGCCCCTGCGCTTCGGGGGGGCGCGAGCGGGCGTCACGCGGGCGCCGTCGCCGGTCGGCCGTCGTCGACGCACGGAGACGTCGTGCGTCGTGCGTCGTCGCCGCGCGGGCGGCGGCGTTCGGGCGTCGGCGGTCATCGGCCGGAGGGTGCGGGGTCCAAGCCGGATCGAGAAGCAGAAGCAGGCACGTACTTTCTCGCAGGTGCCGCCGCACCAGCGCCGAGCTCGGGACTCCGCGCGGAGCTCCGAGCCACCATTGGCATGCCGTGTTTTTTGTTTACCAGCCTGGAACAGATCCCTATCCCTATGCTGGGCATCTCCTCATCACGATGCCAATCTTAGGGGTTCCCTTAGTTTTCCAGGGCGAATCCCTAAGATTGTCATCGCCGTTTGGCGTGTCAATCTTAGGGATAGGGAGAAGTTCGAGGCTGGTGATTTGTTTTCGATTTCGGCCCGTGCTCTTGCTGTCACCGCTTGCGCTGCGGCGGGCAATGAGAGAGGTGCCGCTCAGGAGTGCGGGGCAAATTGGCGCTGGGCCTCAATTCTGAGGGGGGCCTTTATTCTGGGGGGTGAGGGAGAAATTCTTGGCAGTCATGCTCTCAGAGCCCTCAGCGAACCCGCGACGACTCTTGGGCGGTCACACCGCCCATGGTGCTTGTTCAGACTTAGAGAGGAAACCAGAGCCAAGCCATGCCATTCCCATAATACGGTGAGGCATTGGATGAGTAACCACTAAATAGGGAATCCAGGGTCTGTAAGCCGGTGGGACACCAATCGAGCTTGGCAACTTGGCTGTGGATATTACGGACCGCCCCGTACCGGAAAGGAACCCTCCAGGACCTGCAGCCTCACGGGCACGTTCCTTCACAGACGCCCCCCCCCGAACTCAAGGGCGTCGCCGGGCAGGCCGGCGCAGGGAAGAGGATCCGATGCACCGGATCTGCGTGGTGAGCGTTTTCTCATTCGGCGCTTCGACATTGGGCGGAAAGGGGGGGGGAGGAGGGGAGGGTCTGGCTCTGGACCTCTGCTTGCTGCGACCGTTTGCGGCTGCTCGGTAGTATGGTGGGGGCATTGGGCAAGGAGCCCGCAGACAAGGAATCCAGGCTCTGGAAGCTGGTGGACCTCCAATGGAGGCGTGGCCGTGGGCTCCACCGCCGCCCTCGTCAGATAAGGAACCCTCCAGGGTCCGAAGCCTCCCGTACACGTTCCCCAACGAAGGCCCCCACCGTATGCAGATTGGACGGCGTCGTGGTCTGCACCCCGTCGCTCTGCGGCTACTTGGCGGTATTGTACGCAGAACTTGCATTCTCGGGGAGTCTGGGGGACCCAATCGCAGACAGTGGGGTTTCGAAGGAGCCTCGCGGGCCTTAGGAAGGGCATGTTGGTCTCCGTCGGGGGGGGGCATCTTGGACCCTCTGGGGGGGGCATCGTGAGGCCTTCTGGCGATACCTCGGAGACCTCTGACGCGAAAAAGGCCTCCCTGGATTCCCTGGAAAATGTGCCGCGAGGAGGGGGCAGGAGATTCACCTGACGCGAGATAACAAACGGACTCCCCTCTCGCAAGGGCAGAGAATTCACCTGACGCGGGAGAACGCAGGGACTCGACTCCCCCAACCAAGGAGGAAGGCCGGAAATCGAGCCCGAGGCTAGGAAAGCTGAAAAGCGAGCTTCAAATATATGCACACCCGGGAAGAAGAAGCTCCGTGCCCCATGTCGGACGAAAAGAGGGGGGTAGCAGAGTAGGTCGGGCATGTCCCCCTACACGCGGGTTTTGAACGAAGGAGTCAACAAACAAATTCAAAACCATCTCCTCCTGAAGAGGGACATGCCCGACTTCAGGGTAGCTAGGAAGGGGTTGCCAAATCAGCTCGTGTAGCTTGCTTTCCCGGCGCCTCCCCGTGTCTGGAGCGCCGACGTGTCGAAGACAGCACCCACTGCTTGCCTCGGCGGCGAGCGAGGGGGGGAAGTGAGAAGGAGAAGGCCTTCTCAGAAGGCTCAGAAATCCCCAGGTCTTCTGAAAATTTTCTAAGGCTTTCACGAAGACGCAGAAAACTTCTCAGACGGCGCCAGGGCTTCCGAGAAGTCCAGCCGCCTTCTGAGAAGGCCTTCTACTTCTCACTTCCCCCTCTCGCTCGCCGCCGAATTCGGCTGTTGGCTCATAACTCGGATCTCCAGCGGCTGCTCGGGACGATCTGGGCACTCCTGGAACGCCCTCGGCGAGGCGCAGCTGCTGGCAAGCATCCCCAGGCTGGTGCCGCCCTCGCGGCTCACTTCGCGTCCTTTTTCAGCAGCTCCTCCATTACTTTCTGGGTCTCGCGCGCGGGCGGCGAGAGAGAAAGAAGCGGGGGAGGGGAGAGGAGAGCTGGAGGAAACTGAGCATGCGAGGGGGCGGTTGATCCATAGCCACCGCCGGTGGGGTCCCAATCTTCAGGGAAGCGAATGTGACTCCGAATCCGCCGACCCCTTGTGGGTCTCTAGGCGTGTGAGGTTCCTCCCCCTATGGCCTCCCCCCTGGGGACCCCAAATCGGCAATTTGACCCTCCCCCCGGGCCGCGGACGGCCCAACCCCGAACTTATCAAGGGCGATCCGGGCTCCGCAGGCTCGGTCTGGAGCTCCAAGACACCCCGTCAAGCCTCCCAAGACACCCCCAAGACGGTCCAAGAGAGCCGAATGATCGATCCAAGATGCCCAAGAAGCCGCGAAGACACCCCAAGAGGCCTCCAAGAAGCCTCCCAGGACGCCCAAAAGAAGCCAACATCGCCGAACTCCATTGGGAAAACATACACTTCTAGCATATACACCCTGCGAAATGCTTAAGAAATCATGGGTTCAGAAATTAATAGTCTCAGAACTTGAATAACAACCCAACGTTTCTATTAACATCTTAAGATTTACATTGAAACGTTAAGAATAATCGAGACTCTGGCCGAAAACTTAAGTTTTCTTAAGCATCGCCTAGGGTGTACGACTCTTCGGCCTGCACGGCGTGGAAGAACACCCAAGAGGCACCCAGAACCGCC